TGAGTTCAAGGCCAGCCTGGTCTACACAGTGAGTTCCAGGACAGCTGGGGCTACAGGGAGACCCTGTCTCAAAAAGACCAAAAATGAAAGGAAGGAAGGAAGGAAGGAAGGAAGGAAGGAAGGAAGGAAGGAAGGAAGGAAGGGAATTTTTTTTAAAAAGGGAAAGAAAAAATAGGAAAGCTATAATATTTTAATGTATGAATAAACAGAGAAGTGCAATCTGATTTCAGAAAAAGAGAATTCTACTTGACAACTATGCAAGGGAAAGTTTTGTTTTCTCAGAACTGGAGTACAAGGAGATTCAGGAAGAGAGAGTATGACACCAAGTATTAATGGGTTTTTAAAAAGGGAAAGAAAAAATAGGAAAGCTATAATATTTTAATGTATGAATAAACAGAGAAGTGCAATCTGATTTCAGAAAAAGAGAATTCTACTTGACAACTATGCAAGGGAAAGTTTTGTTTTCTCAGAACTGGAGTACAAGGAGATTCAGGAAGAGAGAGTATGACACCAAGTATTAATGGGTCAGGAATCTGTGTAGCATCAAATCACCTGTTTGGGGCAGAGGAAGACTCATTTATGTTGAGCCTTTAGAGATAGAAAACAGAAAATTACGTATCATCTTTTAAGGGCTCTGAGGGTAGTTGCCCTGACCTTATAATGTCACACTGATTTCTGAAAGATCTGGGGGTATGCTGACCCTGTATGTGAAAAATGGAAGTGAAAGCACTTAGAAAATTAAACATAAAGCATAACTCTGAAGTTGTATTTCATATCCTGGCCTTGATTTTAGCAGTAGCATCTTCATGTGACACAATGGACTCTTGAAATCAGTATTAACAACGCATTGCAAGTTTAAGTCATATCCCCCTAAAGCCTTCATTTAAAATTAGAGTTTTCCTTCCTCCACCAAGTTTTTTTGTCTTTTTGAGACAGGGTCTCCCTGTAGCCCCAGCTGTCATGGAACTCACTATGTAGACCAGGCTGGCCTCAAACTCACAAAGATCCGCCTGCATGCCCAGCAACCCTCCAAAGTGTTGGGGTTGTAGGCTTGTACATGACCATGTCCAGCTTTTTATTTGAGTGCTGGAACTCACTCCTCACATTTTTGCAGCAAGTGCTCTTACCCACTGAGCCAGCTCCTCAAATCCCTACCAATTTTTTTGTTTTGTTTTTTGAGACAAAGTCTCCCTGTAGCCCCAAATGGGCTGGAACTCTCTATATAGATCAGGCTGACCTTGATCTCACAGAGATCTACCAGCCACCCAAGTGCTGGGATTAAAGTCCTGTGCTCCTACCAAATTAAAAAAATATCTTAAATTTCTTTTTTTAACTGATATATAAAAACATAAAATTGGTACATATCGGGGCTTTTTGCTTGTTTTTATTTTTTGTTTTCTTGTTGCTTTATATATTTTTACAGTTATTTACTTTTTAATTTTGGACATAGGGGTGTTTGTGTGTGGGGGTGTGAATGTCATCTATAAGGAGATCAGAGGACAACTTGCAAGAATCAATCAGTTCAAGGCCAGGAGTGGTGGCCCATGCTTTTAAACCCGGCACTCAAGAGGCAAAGGCAGGTAGATCTATGTGAGTTCAAGGCCAGCCTGGTGTACATAGTGAGTTCAATCCAGGCCAGTCAAGGTTACATAGTGAGACCCTGTCAAAAAAGACAAAAAGGAAGGAAGGAAGGGAGGAAGGGAGGGAGGGAGGGAGGGAGGGACAACCTGGTAGGTAGGTAGGTAGGTAGGAAGGAAGGAAGGAAGGAAGGAAGGAAGGAAGGAAGTTAGGAAGAGTGAGCTGGGAGTGGTGGTGCATACCTTTAGTCCCAGCACTCAGGAGGCAGAGGCAGGCGGATATCTGTGAGTTCAAGGCCAGCCTGGTCTCCATAGCAAGTTCCAGGTCATTTGGGGATACAGGCAGACCCTGTCTCAAAAAGACCGAAAAAGGTGGGACATGGTGGCTCATGCCTTTAATCTGAGCACTTAGGAGGCAGAGGCAGGTGGATCTCTGTGAGTTCAAGTCCAGTCTGGTCTACATAAGGAGTTCCAGGCCAGCTTGGGCTACAGGAAGACCCTGTTTCAAAAAGACAGAGAGAGAGAGAGAGAGAGAGAGAGAGGAGAGAGAGAGAGAGAGAGA